TTTTTTAATTCAACAAGAGTAGTGAGAATGTCTGATTTGTTAAGTATGTAAAGAAAGAGGAAGGCACAAAGGAGGATTGGGGTGCTATGAGAAGGAAAAGAAGAAAAAAGGAAGTGTGTAGGAAAGTTCTGAAGGGGAAGAATTTCGTAAGGAGAGGGTTCATTGTAAGGGAGAAAAGTAAGGTTATAGGTAGGGTGATAGAGAAATGGAGGAAAGTCCGAAAAAAATAATCCATGACCTGCACAAAGAGAAAACATCCGAACAAAAAAGTGAGACTGGGGTAGATAACAGGTCCATCTCCTCCTCTCTCGTTCTTAACATGACTTGTAGGAAAATGGTGAGCAGGGGCCGGATCTCAGATTGATTCACCCCTCTTTGCTTTCTAATTAAGTGGCACAATTACCTTTCTTATAAATGGCAGGAGAATTTCCCAATGGATAGAAAGGATGTTTGGAAATTCAAAACCCCCCTTACAAGCGTGCCATTGGTCCAGTGCCCTCTGCTCCCTTTGTTTCTGAGTCCCTAGGTCCTTATCCTTTGGATCGGGAGTAATTGTGTGAAAGAAAAAATGGATGATTTTATCAAAATGACCGATCGTTGAGATATCATATAAGATGGATTGGAGAGGATGAGTAATTGTCCTTCTTCTACACCCCCCGCCCCGCTGGGTGATTGATTTGTGCAAACCTATCAGTTGTATGGGTGGTTAGTGCGAAATGAACATGGGTATAGCAGTTGTTGGAAACAAATGTGAATAGTGCAAAGAGAGTAGTGCAATTTGTATCTTAATTTGCTGCTTGCGGTTGTCAAGGGAGTGGGGGGAGAGGGGTTTAGGATTGAATGGTGCGAGGTTGTCGTAAAGGTAGGTGGTTGATGCAGATTCGTAGGTGGAAACCAAAGGTATTTCTGAGGTTGTTCAAGCTTTATAGCGGCTAACTGTAATAGGCATTTTGTTTCTACTGATTGATGACTGAAATTTTAGTGGCCCTTTCACGTATTTCGTACCTTCTGTGTTCTTATCCCTCTTTTCTCCTTTTCTCTGACCTCCTTTCCCTTTGCCTTTCCTTCCCCTTTTTTTTTTTTTTTTTTTTTTTTTAAACGTAGAGTGACGTCTTTCGATAAGAGAGGCCAACTGTTGCTTTGTTATGTAGTTTACTACTGAACTCGTAAGGTTGCTGAAAATACGCTTATGATGCCTTGCGGATTTCATCAGGTAGTGAAGATATGATATTATTGTTCTGACGATAATGTGATTAGGGGTTGTCATGGTTGAGGTTGCTAGCTTCAAGGTTATTAGAGGTGGTGAGGTCATTATTACCGATCGTTCCGGTTCCTTCTTCCGCTTGGTCCCTTACCTTCGGTGAGTGATCATTGGTTTGGTTTCGGGTCAAGAAGTAGATAATATGGGTTGTCTGGGTAGGGATATCGATGTGTACACCGAATGTCTTCGGAATCAGAAATGAATGCCTGGACTTGTGACCGTTGTTCGCGCAATATTGTCTTGTTTTTTTTTTTTTTTTTTTTTTTTTTTTTTTTTTTTTTGAAAAAGACGATATATTAAGATTTATCTTGCTTGCGGCTGGAAGGTTTGATAGGGCAATAAGAACGCTTAGGTCGATTGAACAGATTTTCATGCTCTTATTATAGGTTGCTGTAGTATTCTTTGCGTGATTCTTTCGTCCTTGCTCTTTGGATTTTAGTCGAGAGGGTAAGTGGGAAATTGTGTTATTGTTAACTGGTTGTTAATACGGTGGAGGATGAAGAGAATTATCGCTCTTCGTCCTACTCCTCTTTTCCTTGATCTTTTCTCTGTTCGCTCTTCCTATATATTTTTTATTTTATTTTTTTTGCACAAAATGTTGATAGTTTTTTTGAAGGTCGGCTGATTGATTGGTTTGCGCAAAGGGATGTATTGGTCGCTCGGCACTGAGATGACGCGAGGATTGGCAGATTATTCGGTTTGACTAGTTGGTGATATGAATGTAATGATGAGAAAAACGTGCTAGCCCTTAATCCCTGTTTGTCCGTTAAAATCTATATGTATCAATCTAGCACGAAGATTTGAGAAAAAGTGCTGATAGCTTTGCTGATTGGTTGCTCGATCGATTGATTGATTGATTTGCGCAAATCGATCTAACAGTCGTACATGTGCTCGGTAAGAAAGTGGTGCGATGCGCTATCTTTTTTTTTTTTTTTTTTTTT